TCAGTTTCCTCATCTGTAAAATGGCAAATATACCAGTTCGTACCAGCTCTAACATTTTATTGTGTGTTTGTGTGTGTGTGTGCGATACTATTAATAATTGCAAATAAAATTCTGGGCTTTACCCTTTTCTATTTGTGGACGTCGCCACCTAGTGGCAATCTACAAGTACTTTTTATTGTAGATTACTGCTTGAGCTTTAGAGTACCCTGGAGGATGAGAGAAAATAAGTAGAACATTTACCTTCTATAAAAATTATGTGACTCAGCTCACTTGGAAATATAAAAATATATCTCTTTAATGGATTCTCAAATTATAATTTGTTTTTAAAATTTATCAGTAGACATGCTCCTATTTTATATATATTTTTAAATTCTCACTTGTAATCTTGTTTATTTTGCTCACTTAATCTTGGATAAATTTCATAAATTCTTATTAATTTTAATCTAGATTTGTGTAAGAGTAAATAGTGGAGGCTATTTAGAGGGGATGCCATGGAAGCACAGAATAAATCAATGAAAAATGAATTTATAGATCAGATTTGAAAATATGATTATTAATCACGGAAGACTAGAGAAGGATACCATATATTTTGAAGATTAATATTACCCAAACTTCTCTCTACTCCCATTGACACTAAGTGTAGTTTTTGTTTTGTTTTTGGAAATCTCGCTGGGAGCAGAGATCATGTGTTAGCTCACTTTTTGCATGTAATAGTAACCTTGTCATCAATTAACAATTGAACATTGCATAAACACGTTAACCGTTTTCCATGCAAGGCTCTATGAATAAGTCAGACTGTTACTTTGTCTACACCACCATTAAGGATATACATTTTCAGCTCCTGTTGCCCACATTCATATTATCCAGGACAGCAATTAAAATCAGCCTCTATCATGTATAATGAAAAGAGTGAAGTGAATTGTCAGTAGTTTAGGGAGTCAGAAGGGATTTGATTTTTAAAAGATGAGAATAATTTTCTAAGAATAGAAAATGTAAATATAGTAGACATTTTTTACTTTAATATAAATAGAATATAAATATCTTTTTAATTAGATAAATTACCTTATTTATTCCACTACTCTAAGAAGTAAACATGTCTATATGAATATTTGAATATATTAAAATATATTAATTAAATTATGAATAGTTATTAGGACACTCTGCTCAAAAACATCACATGCAACCACTCCCTCTGCCACCCCAGCGTGTCCTGTGTTTACTCCCTCTGCCTCATCAGCTCAGTTTTGAATAGCTTATTGTGGGTCAGTAGGTATTCTCACGTTTAAGCATGAGAAGCTTCTTTTATTATTAAACTCTAATTCACTTACCATATTTTTCTCGATTCCTGCTTCTAATAATAAAAACTACATTATTGTATGACTTCTTTGGTCCTTTATTTCTTTTTAAAGCCTGCTGAGACGCTTCAGGGTTAACAAGCCAGAAAATACTTAATAAGACTTGTGGGAATGATGAAGTTAGGGGACGGAGCTTTTCCAGAACTGAAGACGTGGCTGTTCCCCAAGCTGCCTCCAGAATGTGGGTTAGGAGGAGGGTGGATTTTGGCAGCTGGAAATCATTGCTCACTTCTCTGAAACTTAGACTTGGCTGGGTCACAATGCCTTTGCCTCTAATTTCTCATTGATCTAGTCCACCTCTCGGGGTGGGAAGGAAAATACAGTGTACCAGACTTAATGTACTGAAGAGGACTGAAATATGAAAATGTAATATGCATGTATCGAGTGTCTGCTGTGTACCTGCATAAAACAATTAGAAATATTTTTAAAAATCCCACAAACTTCAAGCAAGGGGCCCTACTTTTTGCGGGGTGAGGTGGGGAGGTTAAGCAGGCACATGCAAAGTTATCTTAGAAATTGTTGATTAAATATCCTTGAATAGCAAAACAACCAAATGAGGAAGCTCATTCAAGAATACTGTTGAATGAAAACAATTTTATAATTATTCCAAGAAGGCTTATTACTGGGGGGGTGGGAAGGAAAATACAGTGTACCAGACTTAATGTACTGAAGAGGACTGAAATATGAAAATTTAATATGCATGTATCAAGTGTCTGCTGTGTACCTGCATAAAACAATTAGAAATATTTTTAAAAAACCCACAAACTTCAAGCAAGGGGCCCTACTTTTTGCGGGGTGAGGTGGGGAGGTTAAGCAGGCACATGCAAAGTTATCTTAGAAATTGTTGATTAAATATCCTTGAATAGCAAAACAAATGAGGAAGCTTATTCAAGAATACTGTTGAATGAAAACAATTTTATAATTATTCCAAGAAGGCTTATTACTGGGGATTTAACTTATCAAGTAAATTCTTACTCATATCATGTCCCAATGGCAGTGTCGACATAGCTGATGAAATTACTGTAGGGGGCTAGGTTGCCATTCATTTTTAAAATAATCAATTCTCCATAACCATTAAAAAGTATGTGCTTTTAGCTTTCTACTAACTACATACTTGGCAGTGGGTTCTAATTGCTACTGGCATGTTTTCCCAGGGTCCTCGTGGTCCTCAGGGAATTGACGGAGAACCAGGTGTTCCTGGTCAACCTGGTGCTCCAGGGCCTCCTGGGCATCCGTCCCACCCAGGACCCGATGGCATGAGCAGGGTGAGTTATGTGCATTGTTCAAGGCCATATTTAGGTAATATATTAAAGTATTGATTGATTGTCATGATTTTTAATTGTGTTAGTTCAAGTATTGACGCTTGACTGTTAAGAGCAGTTAAATGAATTCAATACTTCCGTGAACAACAATAAAACTAATAAATCAATAGCAAATTGTTGGAAAATTCAAAGTAGCATTTTTTAAAGGGCTGCTTCAAATTATTTGTATTTCTTAATGCCAGTTCTGGACTCTATGAACTTTGTTCTTTCTGTTGATTCTATAGGACGACTAACATTTTTCTCCTATGAATTGGAAGAGAGATAGATCTCTATCCATCTGTTGTTCTGTAGACTCAGAACGCTGACAACATCTGCACCACATCAAGAGAGGATGACACATCCGTGAGGATGTACATGACGAGGCTGTTGAGTTGACACTAAAAATACTACCTAATTATTTCCCGAATTTTAGTTTTCTACCTGAAGTAAAAATAAAACAAAATGTCTTTTTATATCTGCCTTTTTAAATTCTTAATGACAGACATAGGGGATTTATGATTAGATTTCACAGCATAACAAAGGAACGTATGGAATCCGAATGGGATTTGCTTTTACAACAGTTCACACATCTGTTTCTCAAGTGATTGTAAAAGGAATTGCCAATTAATTTTTTAAAATAATAAACACATTCTTTTCCCACTAAAATCTGGAAATTAATATAACTCCTGGAATGTATACGAACAATTTTGATCAGATTGATTACCAGTGTTAATTAAATGTGAAAGAGAATGGTTAAAACTGTTTCCAATTCTTGGAACATTCAGGGATTCATTAAAAGGGAAATAAAATTTTTATCAACTCACATAAATACAATTTAAAGTTAAAGGCCTTGAACAAAGAAAGAAGAATACCATCTACATAAAATAATGTGAAATGGAATCTGGAATCCACAGGAAAAATATTTTAAAGGCATCTTTTAGGCTTTGTTCGGATGTTTCGCATGCTCTTACCGTGGGAGGAAATCAGATAAAGAGATTTAAAGCTGACATCAATTAGACTGGCTCGGGACTTATCAGAATGATCCATGCTTTTGTCAAGTATTGGGCATTGGTCCCATTGCTGCAGTTGTTTTGAAGGAACATACAAAATACTCGGGATGAACCGTCAATCAAAGGCACCTACAGTAAAAAATAACCTGAATCTTTTTCTGTGCTTTAAAGTCAAAAGTTTAAAATGATTCTCAGAATAGTCGATATTAGACTGGCTCGGGACTTATCAGAATGATCCATGCTTTTGTCAAGTATTGGGCATTGGTCCCATTGCTGCAGTTGTTTTGAAGCAACATACAAAATACTCGGGATGAATCGTCAATCAAAGGCACCTACAGTAAAAAACAACCTGAATCTTTTTCTGTGCTTTAAAGTCAAAAGTTTAAAATGATTCTCAGAATAGTCGATAGAATAAGAATACAAATTCCTGAGAGTGTACATTTCTCAGTTTAAAAAGGATGCTGATGTATGTCTTTTACATGTTGCTTTTACAGCCGTTTTCAGCTCAGATGGCTGGGTTGGATGAAAAATCTGGACTTGGGAGTCAAGTAGGGCTGATGCCTGGCTCTGTGGTAAGCATCAACTCTACTGATAATCGAAATACTGCTGGAAAAATAATTATAGTAAGAGAGGCTTGAGTTAGCTAGTCAAGAAATAAGGTGTCTTCTGAAACACATCTGTTCATCCATCCATCCACCTGTTCATTTAATTTATTTATCAAACCCTTCTTTGTGCCAGTTAAGAGCCCAGTGGTGTTTCATTCATAACTATGCAAAGTATTTGTCAAAATTAATAATGTGTGTATATTTCTTTTAATACTTGAAAATAAAGGATTTTAAGACATGTAACCACCTCACCACAACAAAAACTATGCCTTTATAATTAAAAAAACAAGACTAAACTGTTTTGTGGTACTGTTGGAAACAGAGATTTGGCAAAACTTTAAAATAAATGTTTTGCTATTCCATTTTTCTTGTTTTCTACTCATTTTAAAATCACTGGCTGCCTTATTCCAACAACTCTAAGGTTTCCTGGCTGCACTTTCTCTTATCCCTATCCTCTTGTGAATTTCAACAGCCAGAAAGATTCCCATTTTTTTCTGGGCAAGTACTTTACCCTGGTATTTAGAGCAATGCAATCTCATTAAATGAATTAACACCTTTCAAACAGATTCTCCCATGCTTTTTTTGCTCATAGTATCATTCAAAAGCATCCCAGATTGATGGAATTTCAGGCAATAAGAAGTGTAAGATCAACCCAGAGATAACCACCCCTTCTACCCATTCTTAAGGCCAGCATCATGAATACCTCAAACACTGTATATTTTTAAAGGTACTGGTAGCATAGTGTCATTCAGTGATTATCTTGAGATATTTTTCTGAGATATATGAGTTTTTATCTTTTTGGAGTTTAAATTACATATGTGTTTATTTATTCTTTAAAAGGAGCTTTATTTTCTTACTAGCTAAAATATCTGATCAATTCAAAATAAAAATTTAGGTGTTTTACCATAAGAATGAACTTGACTTCAATTTAATTAATTTTATTTTTTTAAAGTGTGACATTTAAAAATTATATGTACATATATTAACAAATTTTTTAAAATTGTATTTTCCTTTTCTTCTCTTCATTATGCTTTAGAATAATCATTTCATGTTTAAATGGGCAAAGCTTTGTGGATATTATCAATGTACATTGTGACAGAAAGAAATAACCCAGAAAACTTCATGCCCCACATAATCTTAAACTGACATTTAAAATAATCTAATCATTATTGTTGATGGCTTCATAAATGCTTAATTCAACTCATTCATTTAAGTTATAAAAGTTATCTGCTGTGAAGCTGAAGAATTAAATAGGCAGTTTGATTACTTTATGCCTGCCAAGATTTTTCTTTATTTGGATATTCTGATTTAACAGAACCACCCTTTAAATATGCAAGTTTTCTTGTCCTAAAGATACTGGGTGTGTATAAGCATATTGTTAATTTCTCTTTATGACACAGCTGGAATTATAAAATTATCTCAAATGTTGTGCAAACTTTAATTTAAGATGTACAAATGTTGTACAAGCTTTCATTTTTTGCAATTAGCTGCATTCCAGATGACTACAGATGGAGACTGTTATCATCCCCCTCTGTCAAAGCTTCACTTTTCCAGATTCTAAAGCTAATTCACTGTTTTTGAAATGTTTGACTTATGCAACTTTTTTTCTCATTTGTTTTAAGGGTCCTATTGGCCCAAGGGGACCTCAAGGTTTACAAGGGCAGCAAGTAAGTCCTTTTATAATTAAATTACATACTGTAACAAAAAAATACAAATAAGGTCTATGTGACATGGCTGCTTTTGTCTGGCCTTTAAATTGCATGTTGTGATGCTTACTTTGAATGGACTGTATTAAATCATTTTCGCTCTCTTAGAAATAGGTGCAGTATTTTTTTCAGTTTCTTCATGAGGCTAAATTTTTATCATGATTACAGATTAGAAAACTGAGTTATAGACAGATTAAGTAACTTGCTCAGAGTCACCTAGCTGGAAAGTGATGGAACCAGAAGTCTGAAAAACTATACTATATATTGAAAGTATAGGATTTAGTATTCTATTTTCCTTTGGTTTGGTTATATAATTTGTTCTCAATTTTAGGGTGGTGTAGGACCTACAGGACCTCCTGGAGAACCTGGTGATCCTGGACCAATGGTAAATGTCAAGTAAGCATGTAGACCCAGTTACATATGAGTCCACCATTGTAATGATGCCACAAGGTATTTGTTTTACTGGGTTCTCTGTAATGTAGTAAGGAATGACAATCCAGTTTGGGAGCCCTGTATTATGGATTGTACTTAAGCTATATATAAGAGTATTTAAATTCAAAGTCTTTGAATATGGTCAGTAGACAGTGTGGAGATATTTCCATTTGTGCAATTACACTTTTTTTTTTTTTCCTGCGAACACTTGATTGGAGGAATATAACACAAAATTCATATTAATAAAACTATTTTCTCTGATATTTTTCAATTGTCTCAACAATATTCTGGATTATATCATTGCATGGTATAGGTAAATATAGGTAATATTCTTTTTCTCCTTTTTGTTTTATTTTGTCATTAGGGTCCAGTTGGTTCACGTGGACCAGAGGGGCCTCCTGGGAAACCTGGTGAAGATGTGAGCTGCCTTTCTTCATTTTACTTGAACTACAGTGATAACAAGAACATTGTGCATTAACTCCCATTTCATTTTTTTTTTTGCACCTTTTTAGCATCCATTAATTCAATCTAAACTGGAAAACTCAAAATGGAATTTTACAAAAATCTAAAAGGGCTCTTTACTTTGATAGTATTGTATTGTTAGATACTGTTTCTCCCCTGCATTCTGCAGGTTTTTCATTAAGATTTCTCCTGGAAACATTAGAATTGTTGTAACAATAACTACAACCTTTGCTGGTGGAACCAATGAAATGATCTGAAAGAAAAAGAACATTGCTCTGATGACAATACATCATCGTGAAGTCTTCATTAAATGGAATTTAAAAAATGTATTAGTGGTATATCGCCAATATGGCTCCCTAATGCTGAAAAAGTAATTTCTTCAATTTGATTTTTAATTAAAGTTAAGATTCACCTCCAGATTTTAACATTAAGAACACGTGATCAAAGAATAGTGTGCAGCAACAGATTAGCTTCTCTAGATTCTTAGTTGTAGTAAAATTGAAGATAAAATTATGGGTAAGCCATTAATTTCTTTGTGACACTAAGCCAAATAAATATTTTCTCTTTGTGAGTCATGAGATTTGTTTAAGCAGATTACATTGAATTTGGTCATAGAGAAAAAATATATCCGGTATTTTTTTTTAATTGGATGGAAATAAATGGCAAGTAGTATTTTAAGAAGCAACATTTCAATTCAAAGCCACATGAGAATATAGAAATTTATAGCATATATGTGTGCTTAAGTGTGTTTGTGTGTAAATTTTGACATTCATAAAATGGCAAGCTAGATCAGACTAGGATAACTTATATTTGTTTCTCTTTCTGGATAAATTAATGACAGCTTTACAAACTGATTTGCAAATTGAGTTGCTATCAGGAATAGAGCTGAGGTTTTTAAATTTTTTTTATACCATTTAGAACATTGCACATGAACTTTCTTAAGAAAACTTTTTATCTGTAATTTACTTGTCATCCTGCCTCATAGAAGAACATTTTAATCCCTCTTCGCCTTCCCCACCCCCTCTTTTTTTTTTTTTCCATAAAGGGTGAACCTGGTAGAAATGGAAATACTGGTGAAGTGGGATTTACAGGATCTCCAGTAAGTTTATATTTATTGATATAATATAAGTCAAACATATGACATATGACATAAAGACAAACTTAAAAAATTAAGAACATTATAATTAACTCACAATTCATTGTTGGCACATGTGTTAGATACTAGGTGAACACAGACAAACAAACAATGTTAAAATATAAAATGTCACAGGACATTTGCCAGAGTGATAGATAATTCCAAGTCCCTGCTTGGCATTGACACCATATGAATAACTAGAGAAGTATATTGCAAGTTAACACGAATATTCTCCAAATCGAGTATCAAGCTTTAAGAAAATAAGAATTTTTTTTTTCAGAAAATGTCACCAGCCTGACCTATATACAATTCACAATATCTTAATTCTGTTTATTTTTAAAATATTTTAATTTTATATCGTCCCACGTGTCTAAAACAATAGCTCAAGAGAAAGTTTGTTTGTTAACTTGTTTTTATATTGGCAAGAGACAATAAATTGTGGACAAGATGCCTCTTTGTTTGCTCCTCAAACCTTAATGTTTGCTGAAATTCTTGATTCATGTTCTGGGCCTTAAAAATCTTATGACAAGATAACGATTGCCAGCCCTCATAACACAGCCATTTTCTTCCCCTTTGGCTCATTGAAGGAACAGGTCCCTGGTGATGTGCTCCACCACAATTCAGAACCTGGGCTGACTGGCCATACTCTGAACCCACCTGTCATGACCTTGGTAGGCCCTCCTCTAGGACGTGCCACACAAGCAGTGGGGAAAATTAGAGAATGATAAGCAAGCCAAAATTGTCCTCAAACATTCCTATTCTTACAATTTCTCCTGCCCAACAACCCCTAAACTAATTCAGCCTCCAACTTACTATATTTCCTATAATTTCCTGTTTCTACCACCCAGTACAACCAGTCGTCCTGCATTACTCTGTTTGCTTTCTGAAAATCAATAAGCTTTAATGCTAGGAATTTTTTTAAACAAATAAACACTGATCTTTTAAAGGAATTTATAGGGCCCTGAGGATTATTTAGTTTCAAATATAAAACCAATCCCCAGCTCCCTGCTCTCTTTCCTTTCCTCCCCCAGCAGCCTGGGAAGTCAATGCAGACAAAGGCATGAGGCCTTGTCATTAACCCAGATGTCCTTTTCCACCAGTCCAGGCTGCAAGCCCCTGTGTCCTACTGCACTCCTGCACACTTTCATAGCCTGGGCCCTCCGTGGGGAGGAAGGGTGCCGGCCAGCACATCCCAGATGCAGTCTGCAAGCTCAGGATAACAACGTGTGACTGCGCTGTGATGACAGTCCTGGGTCAGCAGAATGAGAACTTTTTATGAGCATTCCTACATCTGGTTCATTTTCTTGTTATATTAGGGATATGTAATCACATGAGAATTTCTCTCACAGACCATAAAAACTGAAGTTAATTAATTATTTGGAATAACATAGCTCAGCAATTCCCCTATAGGCTTATGGATGTGGACTGAGTTGCCTGCTCAGGATGGAGGGGAGCTAAATCTCAGTAAAAGGGAGCATTTCAGTTGAAAAACTTACAGGGAATTCTTGACTTGAAAGAATTCCTCAGTAGGGTTGTGTAAACAGAAGAATTAGTGGGATTTCATTTGTTCAGAGAGCATGATTGATGTTCCCTTACTGTGACAACCCCCAAAACACTAAGAAAATTCTCCTTGCAAGAGGTCACAGAAAAATTGCTGCTTTGATTTTTATCATATGGGTTTCACTTATTGAGTTGCTTATTAATCATGTAAATAGTAAAGCCTATGAATATGCAGAGCAGAAAGATTTTGCCATCTGTATGAGATTGTGTTAGGACAGAGAAGTTTTTTAAGAAAGGGTTAGGTAAAGAGTTGTGAGTGTCAGAAGTATTAAACCATTTCTTCAATCAGTGGTTTATCCAATGGATTATTCACTAAATGCCCACTAAACAGGCAAAAGGCTACATGCCAGGGATATGTAGAGAGGTTAATAATAATAACTGACAATAACTGATAACTTCAGTCTATGCCATCAGGGTGCTCAGTCTACTGGTGGCAGTTGTAATGGTGGTTCAATGCAAAACCAAATTAATGTAGGCAATGAGAATATGTAAATAATGAAGTCACTGGGCTATTATCTATTTTAAGAGAGTATTAAGAAAATGTTTCAAGCATCATTTCAAAATAGTTGTATCATTGGATTTCATTTTCTGTGGTATTTCTATTTTTGTAATTTATTTAATGTGCTTTGGTGGAAG